AAAATTCCCAAGTAATGAAACCAAGGCTTAAATATTTCCTTTTTACCTGTTTTTTCGCTTCCCAGGTGATTCAGTGGTAAAGACTCCTCCTGCCAATGCAGGAGGCCTGGGTTCAGTCCCTGGGTTGGGAAGATCCCCTGGAGAAGGGAATGGCAACCCACTGGGTTTCTGGCCTGGGAAATTTCGTGGACAGAGGAGCCTGACAGGCTACAGTCCATGGGTTCACGAAAGAGTCGGACATGACTTAGTGACTAAACAACAACCTGTTTTTATTCCCTCTGTAACATGCCCAAGCAGTGGAGGAGATGCACACTCCATCAGCTCTGTTCAGGCATCTCAAGCTTCTGGTTTTGTCGTCCGCTTTCTCACTCCCTCTGAGGGCAGTGTGGCATCTGTCAGAACTGAGAGCAGATGACAGCACTTCTGTGCTGGGCAGAAGTGTAATCTGGAGTAACAAGGTCTGTACCCCAGCTCCATGTCTTGGAGACCCCAAGGGTGATTCTAGTACCTACCTTTTAAAAGCTCATGACATAAAAGTGATAAGACGAGGAATTCTCTAGGTAGAAAAGGAGAAGAAAATAGGTTTCTTTTGCTGTATGTGCAAACTTTAAACAAAAAATGTGTTCTACTTTCTTGAAAAATTAGACATGGTACATGCCAAAAATAGATATCAAAATTTTATAGGTTTGCTAATGCTTAATACTTATTTTAGAAATTATAATAAAATTTAATGTGGAGAAATTGCCCAGGTAGAGTGATTGTTTTTTTAAACCCCGAGATCATTAAGTAATATTTTTAGTCTTCAAGGGGAAAAAAAATAGCAATATTTGTATTTCAAAAAGTAAATTATATTGAGTCAACAGTACTTTGCCTTTTCTCTTAGGCATCTCATTAATTATTAGTTATCTCCAGGGACAGATTATTGCTATTCTGTTTTGTTGACATTAAGCATTTATTAAGTGCTCACAGCAAAAAAAGTTTATGAAATGTGTAAAAGTTAATTCTCATGGTCCTTATATGCCTCAGTTCAGTTCAGTTGCTCAGTCGTGTCTGACTCTTTGCGACCCTGTGGACTGCAGCATACCAGGCCTCCCTGTCCATCACCAACTCCCAGAGTTTACTCAAACTCATGTCCATTGAGTTGGTGATGTCATCCAGCCCATCTCATCCTCTGTTGTCCCCTTCTCCTCCCGCCTTCAGTCTTTCCCAGCATCAGGGTCTTTTCAAATGACTCAGCTCTTCAAATCAGGTGGCCAAAGTATTGGAGTTTCAGCTTCAATATCAGTCCTTCCAATGAACACTCAGGACTTATCTCCTTTAGGAGGGACTGGTTAGATCTCCTTGCAGTCCAAGGGACTCTCAAGAGTCTTCTACAATACCACAGTTCAAAAGCATCAATTATTCAGTGCTCAGCCTTCTTTATAGTCCAACTCTCACATCCATACATGACCACTGGAAAAACCATAGCCTTGACTAGACAGACCTTTGTTGGCAAAGTAATGTCTCTGCTTTTTAATATGCTATCTAGGTTGGTCATAACTTTCCTTCCAAGGAGTAAGCATCTTTTAATTTCATGGCTGTAGTCACCATCTGCAGTGATTTTGGAGCCCCCCAAAATAAAGTCTGACACTATTTCCACTGTCTCCCCATCTATTTGCCATGAGGTGATGGGACCAGATGCCATGATCTTAGTTTTCTGAATATTGAGCTTTAAGCCAACTTTTTCACTCTCTCACTTTCATCAAGAGGCTTTTTAGTGCCTCTTCACTCTCTGCCATAAGGGTGGTGTCACCTGCATATCTGAGGTTATTGATATTTCTCCCGGCAATCTTGATTCCAGCTTGTGCTTCATCCAGTCCAGCATTTCTCATGATGTACTCTGCATATCAGTTAAATAAGCAACGTGACAATATACAGCCTTGACATACTCCTTTTCCTATTGGGAACCAGTCTGTTGTTCCATGTCCAGTTCTAACTGTTGCTTCCTGACCTGCATACAGGTTTCTCAAGAGGCAGGTCAGGTGGTCTGGTATTACTGTCTCTTTAAGAATTGTCCACAGTTTATTGTGATCCACACAGTCGAAGGCTTTGGCGTAGTCAATAAAGCAGAAATAGATGTTTTTCTGGAATTCTGTTGCTTTTTTGATGATCCAGCGGATACTGGCAATTTGATCTCTGGTTCCTCTGCCTTTTCTAAAACCAGCTTGAACATCTGGAAGGTCACGGTTCATGTATTGCTGGAGCCTGGCTTGGAGAATTTTGATTCAGGGGTGGCCAAGTCTATGTGAACCTATGGACTGTAGCCTGTCCGGCTCCTCTGTCCGTGGGATTCTCTAAGCAAGAATACTGTAGTTGATTGCTATGCTCTCTTCCTATCTTTTTTGCCTCCTATTTTGCTATTTTGCAAAGTACCACAATATAATGGCCATAGAATTACTAGAGATCAAAGTATAATGATCTTTTCTCTGCTTCTACACAGTTCTCAACATTTCCAAAGTCCCTTAAATAAAGCGACAAAAAAGAAGCTCAGAGTCATCCCCACTGCCTCGCCCTGCCCCCCAAGTCCTAAAACATCAAAAAGGGAAAGGCAATACAAAACAAAAACACCTCTTTCAAGACTGGGGACTTATACAATGTTCCTATCTGCAATACTTTCTTGCCAATCCTTCGTCTGGATTGGATTTTTTGATCTCACTAGGCTGTAAACTCCATGCAAGCGGGGACTTGTTTTAGTCACTGTTACATACCTAGTGCTTGGAACTTAACAGAAATAGATGTTTTTCTGGAACTCTTGATTTTTCAGTGATCCAGCGGACATTGGCGATTTGACCTCTGGTTCCTCTGCCTCTTCTAAAACCAGCTTGAACATCTGGAAGTTGACGGCCTGAGGAAGTGGCAAATATATATGTACTCTGATTTTTTAATATTTCAGCATATCCTGAATCAAAAGCTGTAAAATAGCATGATGTTTACAGTCTTCCGTTTTTTATGTCTTTTTTTAAGTGTTAACAGGACTAGTTTCTACTAGTTCCATGAGGAAATTGATTATGTTTTCTTTTAAATCTGCTTCTTAGGAAAGCACTTAGGGATCTTCTTTGTAGTATGGCTGAGTCCCTTCACTGTTCACCTGAGACCGTCACAACTCTGTTGGTCAGCTGTTCTCCAAAACAAAACAAAAAGTTTTAAAAAATTTTAAAAAAGGAAGGTAGGACATGACATATGTGATATATATGCACAATAAAACTGTAATTTGCTATTTAAAAGAAGTGATCTTTATAGTGTCAACAGAAGGAGTTAAGAGGATTGGTAAATTAATCAGCAAAAGATATAGAGGGGCAAACTATATCTATATAGTTTAGGTATAGAAATAGCAACCTACTGTCTCCAAAGAGACTACCAGTGTTCTATAAAAGGTTGGTTTCTTTTGCCTGTGAGATTTAACAAATGCCCTTTAATACTTTTTTTTAACATCAGCTCTAGATGAAGAGAAAAGAAAAAATCCAAAAGGTAATCAAGTTAGCTCGGGAAGAAAATAGTTTCTCTCAGTTAAAGAGTTGTTGCTTTTAAATTGCAAGAAATAATTTTCTCCCAGATAATCTTTTAAATAAGTAACAAGCCATGGTGCAGATCTGTTACATTTTAATAAAAGAAATATAAACACTAGTGATTATTTGCATTACCAAGAAGTTTTCTGAGACAGTAATGTTACTGTGTATATCTTTACTAACTATATCTCTTTGTTGTAATGAATTATTAGCTCTTGAATTAAAAAAAGTTGAGAACCAAGATTAATAAGTACTTGATTGTTTTGCTTTTAATTAAAAAAAAAACTAAGGAATTTACAATATAAAGAAAATTTAGTTGATTTTAATACCCTAAAATTCAGGGTACACTAATATTTCAAATATACTTAAAGAATTGCATGTATGCTTTTTAAAGGCTTTTAAAATGATATTTTTAATTTAAAATATTTTTTCTTTAATGTGCCAGTTAGTATATGGCAAATCCTTTTAAAGGGTGCCATCTAGTGTCAGTTTGGGAATTTTGATTTATGGACTAGAACATGGGTAATTTTAGACCCAGGAAATGTAGAAATCAAACAAAAAGTCATAATTGACAAAAGTCTTAAGGATTATGACTTGAAAACACCCATCAATAATTTGACCACAAGATTGTGTATGTTTGCATCTTTAAAATAATGAACATGTCTATTCATGTATGCATTCACTCAGTGCTTTTTGATTATACATATGTGTGTGTGTATATATATATACATATACATATATAATATCAGACCTTGTTTAGATATAGCAGTGAATAAAATGAAATTGTGGTCTCACGGAACATGCTATTGGAAGAAGACAAGAATAGGTATATAGCATGTTGCAATAGTGATAAATGCTAGGTATTCTTGATTATTTCTTGCGTCCCATCCTGTTCATCTCTTGTTCTCACTGTAGAGACCGGCAGGTACTTGACTGGGAGGGCTGTATTGCAAAGCATCTGAGGTATGCTCATTTTAAAGGAGCTGTATATAAAATCCCCTCACGTGCATGCATGCTGAGTAACTTCAGTCGTGTTCAGCTCTGTGCAACCCCATGGACTCTAGCCCATCAGGCTCCTCTGTCCATGGGATTTCCCAGGCAAGAACATTGGAGTGGGTTGCCATTTCCTTCTCCAGGGATCTTCCCGACCCAGGGATTGAACCCGCAACTTTTATGTCTCCTGCATTGTCAGGTGGGTTCTTTACCACTGACACCACTTGGGAAGTCCTAGAAACCCCTTAAGACTAGTTAATTGCACAACATGGGCCTCATTCTTTTGGAAGCTGTTTATTCAGGCCAAGAACAAAGTTTTGTAGAATCATATCTATCACAAATCTTTGCTGATTTCAAAAAAAGTTTTAAAGTGTTCATCTTTTATTTTAACTTTGGATTACTATATCCTGAGACCTAAAACCACTTCAATTTATGCTTCAGGTAACCCAATGAAAGAAGAAAATGAAAGGCATTAAGAAAAGCCTTACAGAAGAATATCTGTACTTGGACTTTTCTCACCAAAAAGAAGGGTGCATCTTTCCTCTTCATACGTCTGTAACTTTATTTTTGTTATCATACTGTGACTGCACAGTCTTTAAAGTTTACTTAGTCCTCCCTGGAGAAAGCACAAGTATTTCACTACCTAAAAACGTACCATCTGAGGGTGTTGAAATACAGATTATTTCAAGGCAAGAGCTTCCACCAATAGTCCAGGGTTGCCGTTTACCTGCAGTAGTAGAAAGACCAGACAATTTCTGTAGAGCAGGACTTGCTGTCGTTCTGAGACACATAATCCAGAAGTCATATGAAGCAGACCCCTCAAAGAAGGAAATTTTGGAACTTCTGGGTTTTAAGAAGACTTGCTTGAAAGCTTGTGCTGAAGTAAGTAGAATGTCTCTTTTCTGTTATTTAAAGCTGTAAGTAATCACTGCAGGCAGATTCTTTGTCTTCTGAGCCACAAGGGAAGTCCATAAGTGGTAACACATTCACTTGAATATTTATTTAATTCTCTGTTGGAAAATAAAGTTTAATTTACTTAAAAAAAACTTCAGTAACTAATAAAAGAGTTAAAGTAGCCTTTCATGTGTACTAATATTTCAGTGCAGTATTAGAGGATAAGAAGTAAAGATTTAATTTATGAGATTTATTTATTTATTTATAAGATTTATTTATGAGACATTATTTTTAGGAAAAGATTTTTTTTAACCTTTTATTTTAATTATGTTGAGGATTAAAGAAGCTCAAGTAGCAGTGTTTTAGTGACCCAGCTTTTTTAGGGAGAGTCCACTTTAGAGGCTTTGGGACGTGAGGATTTACTGAGTAAGAGGATATAAGAGAATAGCATATATTTCCAGATACAGCAGTGCTAAGCCTACATTGTTGAATGTTATCACTTCTGAAGCACTGTGGTAATGTCTCTTGATAGAGCATAAAGTCTAGCCCAGGAATGGTTTGGCTTAAGACTTAAATTCTCTAAACCAGTCTTGTTTTCCAGTATGAAGTTATTTTTCCTCAAGTTTGGTTGAAAGTAAAGAATCCTTTCATTTCTTGTTTTGTTTTGTAGGTTAGTCAATGGACCAGGCTATGTGAACTTACCATCCCTTTAGCTGTTGAGAATTTTCTCAAAGAAGCTTTTGATCAACCCCCAACTATTCCTGCTGCAATACTAGAGCTTGAGAAAAAGCTTAGTGAACCCGTTAGAGTGCATAATGATGACAAACTCCGGCGTCAGAAGCTAAAGCAACAGAAGGCTGCCGGGGTTGGGCCTTCCCTTGCCAAGGAAAGAACGCAGAGCAAGGGTCATAGGCAGGAAGTATCTGAAGAGGGGGACTCCTCATCTGCAAGCCTGGAACTGAGAGTGGCCTTCTCGAAGCTCACAATACACAAGGAGCCCGCTTCTGCCAACAGAGAGCCTTCTCACGTCAGAAAAGCAAAAGCCTCTGACCTGCCTCCTCTGGACCACGTGTTCGCAGAAGGCCTGTACTTCACGTTGGCAGATATTGTGCTATTGCCCTGTATCCATCATTTTTTGGTAAGGTTTATCAGGAGTCGATACCCTGATGTAGGTTTCAGTCTGTAAAGCTTCCCAGGTTTGAATTCCTATTCCATTTCTTATTATGCTTCTGGGCAAGTTATTAATATCCGTCTGCATTTCCTTATCTGTAAAACAGCGATGCTCATCTGTTTGGATGAGTGTGAGGAACAAAAGACAATTTGTGTAAAGTAGGAACAATGCTTAGACATAGTTGCTGTCAATAAATATTAGTAATTAGAATGACTTTTAGTTTTGAGTTGCTAAAATATTAGCATTTGTTATGATTATTAGGGACTTTCCTTGTGGCTCAGCTGGTAAAGAATCCTCCTGCAGTGCAGGAGACCCCAGTTCCACTCCTGGTTGGAGAAGATCCCCTGGAGAAGGGACAGGCTACCCACTCCAGTGTTCTTAGATTTCCCTGGTGGCTCAGACGGTAGAGAATCCACCTGCAGTGCAGGAGACCTGGGTTGGATCCCTGGGTGGGGAAGATCCCCTGGAGGAGGGCATGGCAGCCCACTCCAGTATTCCTGCCTGGAGAATCCCATGGACGGAGGAGCCTGGCGGGCTACAGTCCACGGGGTCGGGAAGAGTCGGATACAACTGACCGAGTAAGCACAGCACACAGTACATGATTATTAAGCTTAAATTGCTCTTGTGATTACCTTCTGATACTAGAGGTTCCAGTATTAAAATACTGAAATCCCTGGTCAACTATATTTTATAATTAAGTAGTCACTTCAAATGGCTTGCTTCCCAGGTGGCTCAAGTGATAAAGAATTCCCTGCAATGCCAGAAATGTGGGTTTGATTCCTGGTCGGGAAGATGCCCTGGAGAAGGAAATGGCAACCCACTCCAGTATTCTTACCTGGGACATCTCATGGATTGAAGAGCCTGGCGGGCTCCAGTTCATGGAGTCGCAGAGTCAAATGTGACTTAGCAACTAAACAAGTCACTTCAAATTCTTTACCACTAGTGCCACCTGGGAAACAACTAATTTCATTATGTCAGATGTTATTAAATCAGAAATATTTAACCCACATCTCTTTGTTATGTAACAGAACTGTCAGTCCTATTCAATGCTGTGGGAGATTATAAATGGAAAGTCTCCATTTTTAGTTCATTATATATATATGCATGCTAAGTCGCTTCAATTGTGTCCAACTGTTTGCAACCCCATGGATTGTAGCCCTCCTGGTTCCTCTGTCCTTGGGATTCTCCAGGCAAGAATACTGCAGTGGGTTGCCATGCCCTCCTCCAGGGAATCTTCCCAAACCAGGGATTGAACCTACATCTCTTAAGTCTTCTGCATCTAGGCAGGTTCTTTACCACTAGCTGGGAAATTTTTTTTTTTCTCTCTCCTGTCTGTGGGAGGGACAAAGGACAAGGTAGAAACAGTATCAAGTGAATGGAAAGCTAGAGCTCTTTGTAGCTTTCCTATTGGTTTTCCAGAACTGCATTTTTCCTACTTTGAAGCATTTCACCCTTTCCTTTTCTGAGGAATTGGATAATCAGGTTTGGTTTATTATATATCACCAATACTTCAGGTATGTTTACTGACAATTGAGAAAATATTTCTAATGAATATCTGTGTATTTGAACATCTATGTATTTGGAGACCAGTGCTTCACTAGTAAGTTAGGTGGCATCAATGAGTTGGTGTTTTCTTAAAGAACGTTTCTCTTTTCTTTAAAATGGAAGCAAAACAAGATTAGAAACCAAAATAACGTCAGAATTAAAGGATGTGAAAACAAGAGATTTAGGAATTTTGTAGATGTTGATTAGTATTGTAAATGTCACGTGTATTCCTACTGTCCATGGAGCTGGAGCTGGATGGGGAGAAAAACACAGATTTTTTTTTTCCTAGTCAAATGATTTCTAAATTCTCTTGTCACCATTATTACCAACTTTAGTCATTAAACCAGTCATTTGGTACATATTTTGAAATATTTTTGATATTCATGCCTTCTTGGTCTTCTTGGATAACTCTTTGTTCCTTAGTTCTTAAAAATTGAATCTTAAGTGGCACAACCATTAATTCATTCATTTGAGAAATTTATTTGAAAGCCTACTGTATATGTCACACTCTGTTGTATACGCTAAGAATACAGTGATGAACAAGAGAGAAAGAGTCCCAGCCTTAATGGAGTGAATATTCTAGTAGAAATAGAAGAATAGGGAAGATAGAAATTAACAAAGTAGGCAAATAAACAATACGCATTTAAATGATGGTGAGTACTACAAAGGAAATAAATTGATAGAGAAGACTTGAGTATTTGCTTTCAAATGCAACAAGACATAAAAAAATTGGATTCACCTGCATAAAAATGATTTTTAGATCATTATCCAGACATCTATCTTTTACATTTGATTTTAGCTTAATTTAATACTGTTTACCTGATTAGGATCAACTGAGGTGAAGGTGTTCCTAATTGAGAGGATTTTTTTCCCCCTTCAATCAGGTTGGACATCAGCCTGACCACTGCTGACTAAATATACCTAATACAACTAAGGAACTCTGTCTCAGTTTAAAATAGTGGAAAACTTGTACACTCAGCCTTTTCTATTACATGTATTCTGTGATTAAATTCTTCTGACATTTATATGTAAACTAATTCTCTAAATATTTTCCTTTGTTTGTTTGTATTTTTCCTGGATCATCACATTTTCTTTCAGGAATTAATCTCTCTTTGCCAAAGCTTTGATGTTATTTTTGTTATATTTATTTTCCTCTTATAAGTCATCTTAGGTTATGAAGCAGCCGTTTTAGTTCAGATGGTGGCGATGATGCCAAGCCTTTATACTTGTAGTAACTCACATTGAGGTGATGAAGTAGCAGTCCAAATGATCAGAATCAGGATCAAGTTCATGATGAGGAATGAAGGTCAAGTTATTAGGTTTGGATCAGAAACAGAGAACTGCATCTAGGGCCAAAATATTTAGCCATAGAAATAAGATCAAGAATATGAAAGAGCAGTCAATTTTGCTAATTCAAGGTTTGGTATACCAGAGGTCAAAATTAGAAGAGTTAGGGAAAATACCCAGTTTTGCTAAACAAAGTGATGGCTTCCTGGTAGCTCAGACAGTAAGGAATCTGACTACAGTACAGGAGACTGGAGTTTGATTCCCAGGCTGAGAAGATTCCCTGGAGAAGAGAATGGCAACCCGCTCCAGTATTCTTGCCTGGAAAATTTCATGGACAGAGGAACGTAGTGGGCTACAACCCATGGGACAGCAAAGAGTTGGACACACTGAGCAAGGAAGCAAGGGAAAATACCCAATTTTGCTAAACAAAATAAAGCCAAATATGCACAAAAATAGCTAGGAGAGGCTGCAGTGTTACATCTAAACCTCAACTCCAAGCTACTTTTCTCTTCATAGGACATTAGCTGGCAAAGGGAACTCCTGATAGCCCAACACTGCTTCCTGGAAGGTGCTTGATAAAATCCTCTCTGGAAAGTTTCAGGAATGGATTTTAAAAGAATAAATTAAAATGCATACTACTTATGATTCCCCCTTCCCTTTGATTTAATTGCTAGAATCTTTTAGTATTTAGAAGAGCAAGTAGATGGGAGAAATGACAATGAATAGCTATACTAAGGTAAAATCTTGCTGATACCAGATAATATTCAGATACCAATAAATTTTATAGTTATTTTTAAGTTACTACTACTAAACAGGTACACTTTGATCAAACTGTTTAAAAGATTGTTCTAGTCCTGGAAGATAAACAAATTGCCACTTTATGCAATATTTTTGTAACCTGCATATTTATGATTTAACATACTACATTTTAACTTCTAATGCTTTGAATTTAGTTTTTTAGAAGTATGACATTTGCTACAAAAGTAAAAACATTGTATAAATTGATTTTTCAGCAAAAATGCCTATGTTAAATACCTCTTTCATTGTTCTCATTGGCATAAAATTGAGAATAAAATGGGAATCTCGCTATTGGGTGACATATTGCAAAAATCATGAATGCTCTGGTTAATTTATATTTTCTATATCCTATCCTATGTCTTAAGTCCTTAAGAATTTTAAGTTTTAACTCACCAGTTCTAGACTGTTAGAAAAACACTAAACTGGGATTTTATTTCCACTTACTTTACTATTTTTTATACTGCTTATCCTGCTCATCTAAACATTTGTTAGTTACGACATGCTTTTGAGAGTAGACGTGACTAAGGAAATGACATGAAAGAATTACAACATACTCTAATAAGCAATGGAAAGTAATACAGAGGAGATCTTTTGGATAGATATGATATCTTCTCTTTTTATTCACACAAGTTTTTTCTGCCCCTTATTGTAATTAACTGCAAAGCCACTCCTGGTGGCTCAGTTGGTTAAGAGTCTGCCTACAGTATAGAGACCCAGGTTCAATCCCTGGGTTGGGAAGATTCCCTGAAGAAGGGAATGGCTACCCAGTCCAGTATTCTTGCCTGGATAATTCCATGGATAGAGGAGCTTGGTGGGCTGCAGTCCATGGAGCTGCAGAGAGCTGGATATGACTGAGCGACTAACTCTTTCATAAAGCCACTAGGATTTCATTTTGTGGTCTTCATAGCAGTTTTTTTTTTTAAACCATTATTTTAAAAATAAATTCTCTAATTTTCTTGTCCTTAAGTAACTTGATTAAAATTTATAATGATTTTGATCTTATCAACCAGGTAACATTTTTAAAAAATCATTTCTTAGGGACAAATTTAATTTTTGTTTCACACATTTTTCATTAGCCTCTTCCTTAAATACATTTTCTCATGTGTAATTAACAAATGTAGTGCAGTACCTCCTGAGCTGTCTGGATAAAAGCAGAGCAGCCTGGCATGTTGATTAACTGGAATGACCTGTCATGTAGAGTAAAAGTCCTCAGTTTTTTTAAACATGAATTATTGTTGCTTAATTACAATTTATTTCAAAAGGAGGGAAAGATGTCATATGCACCTAACAAATAAGAATAAATCACTACCAAGGGAAGTAACAGAAAATGAGGAAATGAGAACATTTCTTATTTGATTAATTTATCATGGCTTAAAGCTCAATTCCCTTAGCTCATAATCTGTTTTCAGGCAACTAAGTATTTGGTTGAGAGTTAGAAATTTTTTACTCCCAGAGTACCATTTAGACAGTATTTTTCAAACTTTTTTACTTTTCACAGTAAATGATGCATTTTACAAGATGATTGAGCGTACGAGTATACATCTTTATATTATACAAACAAATGCAAAATAATCTGCCTTATGACATGCTATTTACCCTGATATTTTCTATCTTATTTCATTTTTTTTTAAACCAGATATATTGATTTTAAAATCTCTTAATGGGTCATGAGCAGCAGTTTGAAAGACACTAATTTAGGGGATTATTCTTTGAAGGCAATAAGTGGTTCCTTGATCATCTATTCAATCAAGAGTATTTTTTGCAAGGCAGTGGTTTAAGCACTTGTAGTATACAAAGAGCATTAGACATAAACCCTGTTCTTATAGTCAATTCTTACTTAACCTTAAAGTCTAGTTAAAATAAATCATATATATGTGCGAAATTTTTCATTAATTTTCATCCTTTCTGGCTTCTGTTTTGGCACTGATTATAACTAGATATATCTATAGAGATTTTCTGTGATTTGACCTTTTTACTTTTTCTGTTCATAATTTTAAGTCATAATCTGTTTGTAACATTATAACTGTTTCTATGGAAACAGCATTCAGTGTCTTACAAAGAAGAACATTCTAATTTTTAAAGAAATTGAAGTTTGGTGGTGGTGCTAGGGAGAAAGCATCTGACCAAGGCAAAATAAACGTTAATTTACATCAGAGGTAATGGTTTCAAATGTTTTTAATTTGAATAAATAAGTCTTTCTTTAAATGCTGCATCATCATAAAAAGCAACAAACTGCTGATAAATGCAACTACATGGATGAATCTCAGAATCATACTGCTAAATGAAAAGAACCACATTTAGTGATTCCATTTTCATGAAATTCTAGAAAAGGCAGAATTACACACATGAGAAGCAGATCAGGGATTGCCTGCAGCTGACTGGGGGGCAGAGACGACTGCCAGCAGTCACAGGAAACTTCCCTGTGTGACATTGGGCTTTCCAGTAGTAGGTTATGGTGGTAGTTGCACAACTGTATAAATTTACTAAAACTCATTCTGTGAACTGTACCCTTAAAATGTGTGAATTTTGTGGTACATAAGGTTACTTCAATCTGCTCTTATAACAAACAAAAATTATGTATAATAATATGTTTTGTTCTTTTTCTGCCTAGGTAATTATCTGCAGGAAACTTTCTGGAAAGCTGGTAGAATTCCCACTGCTGGCTGCCTGGTACCAGAGGATTCAGGAAGTGCCAAGAGTGCAAATAGCAGCTTCTCAGTGTGGGATCCAATTTCTCAGATTACCAGAATTACAGACCACCTCAAGTCAACAGCCCCCAAACTTAGATGAGACCCCATGTGCAGAGGAGCAAAATGATCCTTCGTTTATTGGAGGACCAAGACCCACTATGACTAAATTAATGGTAATTCAGTTGTTTTTATTAAAATTTTGTTTGAAAGATTCCATGTGATAAAAGTTGCTTAGTATACTACCCTAACTTGTAATTATCTATTGACATTTTGTATAAATTTTATTTGCATCAGTCTTGACCAATCACACTTTGTGCTAGTCTTTGCATTTAAGTGAAAAGTAAATTGAATACATACAGTAAATTGAAGATTTTTACTATTATATGTCTTTGGAGACAAACGAGTCAGGATATATATTTTTAAGAGTATTTTTCTCAAAACATTTTGTTTTACATTTGATACGCCAAAGTCATACCACATCTGGTCAAGTTTATTGTTTTAACCTGATGTTTTTCTGTTGCAAGGAACTAGTCTTGGTTTTTTAATTTTGAGGTGATGATTTGAATTAAAGAAATGAGAATGATTATCTCAATTTATTTGCCAAGGTTTTGTCTAAATTTAAGATTTTTGAATTCTGTTTTTAATTTAGTCCTTGATTTTATGACCTTATATATAATAAGAATGCATGTCATTTATTTTTCTCTGTTTATAGCATAATTAGTTTCTAATTGTACTAAGTGTGTAAGTTTTCACCAATAGGCTTGCTTTTCAATATCATTCACCAGTGGCTAAGACTGTGTTCCTAATGCAGAGGGCCCAGGTCTGACCCCTGGCCAGGGAACTAGATACCACATGCTACAATTAAGACCTGGTGCAGCCACATAAATAAATAAATATTTAAAAATGTTTACCAAAATGGCTTGCTTTTAACTTAGACTACTTTATTTGATTTATTTGAATAGGGAATTCATGAAGTAATTAGAGCTGGTCATCTGAGTTGTATTGGCAAAAAAATTAGTATATTTTTCTTAACTTGGGTTAGGAAGTATTTGAGTTCTAGTGTTAACAAAGTTCTTTGATTAGAAAAGCACAAGAAGATGTTAGTAGTAACACCAGCTCCTCATCTCTTCAGCTAAGTTTTGTTAGCCTAGTGATGAAACAATGAAACAGGAGTTGATTAGTAGTTTGATCTGTCTTGATCAGATGGTTATATTGTTCAGCAGTCTTTCGTTTACCTCCTGATTGTTTTTTTTTTTAAATAATTATAAGGAGAGTATCTTTGTATTAAAATACTAATTTCTAAAATTGTAGCAAACCAATAATCTGTGCTTTTATTTGAATTCATACTTTTAGAGAGTCTTGAAAAAAGATTGGTAATTCAGATTTTTCTGCCCATGCTTTTCCAGCAACAAAATGATATTAGGAAAAACATTTGCATTTGTTCCATTTTAAAATATTTATAGAAAAGGGATAAATATATTCAGAGAAAAGTTAAACAATCATAAAAATAAGCCCTTTGTAATAATATTAAAAATATAAAGGAACCCTGAGATTTTAGCTTACAGGGGATTAGTTAGAAGCAAATTCCAAGATAGGGTTAGATGTGCTGCAGGAATACTGAGGGGAACATCTGTGAGGGAAAGTGGGGAGGGCGCCAAAGAAGGGTGCAAGGGCCTTCAGAAGGTGGTGCAGGTTTGACCACTGTGCGTGAAAACAGGAAAGGAAGGAAGGTTGCATCGGTGCAATTCGGAATCCTTGAGTTTCAGTCCTCTGTCACAGAGTTCCGTATTTCTCAAAAGCGGCCTCACTCTTAGTCTGTGTGCCTGAGACTTAGTCACTGACTTGGCAATAGTCCCTGGGAAGGCTATGTTAGAAACCAGGTGACTTGGGTTCCAGGCCCAGCTTTGTAGTCAAGCTAACATTATTATGCCTTCAGTAAGGTGTTTAACCAAAAGGTCTCAATTTCTCCTTTTATAAATTAGGGGTGTGAGGTGTACATTTGTATATGCATCATTTCTAATTTTAAATCTTTATGATTGTATGAAAGTTGACTGAGACATCACATCAGCAATTTTAAAAGAACAAAGTTTTCAAATCTAAAAATAAAACTTTGGTTTTCTTTTAATTCTATCTTGATTGTGTGTGTTGGATACATCTTTTTCTTTTTATCACTTTCCCAGCTTTATTAAAGAAGTTCACTAAAGTAACATTTTCCTTTTTAATAGGGCATTATTTTTGCTAAGTTTCTCATTGTCGTATATTTAAAAGACAATAGTATATCAAATTAACATTCTATGAATGTATTAATTTTATTTATACTGTAATTTTTTATTTCTGAATAGTCAGAGTTTGTGTGTGTGTGTGTGTTTGCCTTTTTTTTTTTTGCCAATTGCATGAGGACACATGAAATTGGCCCTAAGTAGATGTGTAAAATACAAAAAATTTTCTTGGTAGTGCTCACATCTCACCTTTTTTTCCTTCTGTTTTCTCTGGCACAGGCTTGCCTCCAAAATCTCCCGTATTCTCGAGAGGTTTTAAATTTATTTATTCATCCAGTCAGTCAAAAGATGTACATGTATTTACTAAACAGACATTTTTCTGAATGTTGAATATATGAAGAACAAATTGGACTGCCCTCCTGGATGTTCCATTCTGGTGGGGGAGGTGAATAAAAACCACAAGTAAATATGTAACACATTAGCTAATGATAAGTGTTATACAAATGATGTGGGATGAGGGGACTGGAGATGTTGGAGGTCATGATCATATTTTAGATAAGGTGGTCAAGAAGCCTTAACTGATGAGGCAAAGACATTGATCAGATGATCAGAATGAACATTTGAAGATTTGGAGGGTATGTTCTAGGCATATGGTCCACCTAGTAGAAGACTCTGAACAAATTTACAGAGACAGAAAGTGGATCAGTAGTTGCCCAGGGCAGGGAGCTATGGGCAGAGAATAGAGAATGTCTGCTAGTGGGTATGGGATGTCTTTTTTTGAGATGATGAAAATGTTCTCAAATTAGATAATGGTGATTGTTACACAACCGTAAATATTTTAAAAACCATTGTATTATACTCTTTAAAGGGACAGATTTAAAAAAAAAAGGGACAGATTTTATGGCATAGAAATTATATTTCAAAATAGTTGTATTTTATGAAAGACCCCAAGTTAAGAATGAGTGTGGTAAAATGAGGAATAGCAAGAAGGTCAGTATGGCTAGACTGGACTAAGGGAGTTACAGGAAAGAGGTGGTGATGTCAAAGAGATGTGTTTATCTTTCTGGAGGCAGGTATATCTGTAGCTATATCTATGCCCCAACAACAGAATCTTTTTACTATCTCCTTTTGGACTGGAATTCAGCTAGTCTTCATGGTGGAAACTAATCTCCTAAACTAACTGATACAAAGGGGTTAATGATTGATTTTCAGGGATTTTTCTTTTGAATAAGATATTCCTGGAGATTGAAAAAAATAATTCCAGAACCATGGGTATCTATCCTGTGGGCTGTGGACACAGAATATGATTACAAGGGGTCTGGAAATCCGTGAGTATGCCATGCAACTGTCTGTAGATCAAATAAATAAATGTACAACATTCAACATAAGGAAGGAACCTGAGAATTTTTTTATGTATGGAAGAGGGAATATCATTCTTTTAGATGTTGGGAACTAGTTGGTTAAACAAAAGGGATCCTTTTCTAAAGACTTTGTAGGTCCCCATAAGAGACTAGTATGGATGATATTTGGGGTGCATGTTAAAGTGGGACTTTTTGATCCTTTAAACATAGCTGCTAGGCTATAGCAACTTTTGAATAATACATGACAGACTTTAATGGATGTATGCAAAGTTAGTTTTTATTATGTGGATTGTTTTTGATAATAGTTTTATTCTCAGGTGACTTTTCTCTTTGACACCTAATATTCCTAGATGGCTTATTACTTCTGTGTCACTTCAGGTAATAATTTTAGTAGGAAATTTAATAGGAAAGTAACCATACTGTTAAGAAACTCAACATTTATTTCTTGTTTTGGGGGGAAGAATACTTTTCAAAAACATCTTGATCATTATTTCTTCAGCTTTTACTTGTTTCTGACTTCTGTTTGCAGAAGTCAGGGTAAGTGTTTAAAGAGTTTTAACAGGAAGCAGAGAACAAGGTCAAATACAAATTTTCGTGATATTCTCAGATCCCATAGTGTGAATCTAAAGAAGGGAATCTATTAGGGTTGTATTTAAGATCAAGAAACAAGCAAGCAAACAAAAAGTAGGCTACACTGTGATAACAGAATTAGAGAAGGAGAACAGCCCACCTGTTCATTCATTCACCAAGCATTCATTCCGTGTTACACCAGGCAGTGCATCAGACTCAACTGTGTGTTAATATGGCCTGTGGAACTCAATTACATCTCTTCACAGATAATTTACTTTTCTCTCTGGGTGGCTATATATGAAATATTTTTCTGATGTTTATCACAAGTTACTACTTCTTGAAATACCTTGTGATATTCTGCAGTCATGGAATAGCTAGAAATATTTGAGAGAGTATATTTCAACATATATCTCTTATGTAACAATATTTTGAGGAATGCTTGATGTTTATTAAAAATTGTATTTCACCTTGCCAGTGTGGAAAATAGAATTTGCTGTTCTAGAACATAACAGGATTGTATTAATTCATTAATTTGGAAAGGGCCTCTCTCCTTTTCCAGGAAAAAGGCATTGAAGTGATGTTTTCTCCCCACCCCTGCCCTACTTGGACCCTTGATTGGGATATACTTCCTGCAGCAGTGAGCCCAAAAGAAGGTAAATTGTTTTTTGTTTTGTCTCTTTAAATTTTATTCATACTCTGGATACCCTCCTCATCCATCTTCCAGTTCTCTAGTTCTCTCTTTGACTGTATCTGACATTCTGATCATACTATCCATGCAGTTTTCATTTTATTTTTATTACAAAAATTTTACATATATACATTGCTTTAATTTAGTATTTCCCACATTTGCTGTATCTGTTCTTTTTTTTTCTTTGCTGAAGTATTTTGAAACCTATCCCAGATAATATGTCACCCATAGTATACACATCTAAACAATATTGACATCTTAAATAATCACCATGTCATTATTATGTTTAATAAAAATCAACAAAAATTCCTTCATCATCTAATAACCACTTCATAATAATTTCCCCCAATTATTTTAAATATTATTTGAAAAAATATTTTGATAGATTTTTTAGTTAATTATATTATTTATTGCTAAAAATTACATTTGGTATGTTTATTTTGATGATAAACTTTTCCTTGCTCATGCTTCAATTTTCTCTTTCTATAATTGTTTAAACATAGTGATTTTATATGCTGCATATATTATTTCTAATAGCTGATATCCATTGTTCATTGTTTCTGTGACTTCACTCCTGGTGTCTCATATCCCTGTTAATTTTGTCATTTTAGATTCTGAATTCATTTTTTGGGTTCCCAAATCTTGGAATCTTGGGAGACCTGGTTAGAAATGAATTCCCATAGTTAGGATTTATGTTTGTGTATGCTAGACATCTTAAACCATTACACTTAATACACTGGAATGTACTTTTTCAGGTTGCGATTCCTTCAGCCTTTTCTATCTAGACCTGAGGCTTACACAGAAAATTAACTTTTTTTACTTTTCTTTGTTGTTGAATAGAGCTTTTTTAAAAAATAATATATATACATCTTTTCATAGTGCATATATATAGCTTTTCAAGGTTTCTACTTTCATGTAGTGATACTAGTTTCAGCTCTCCACATGCTAGGAATCAAGGGCTGGCCTCTCTTCTTCTTCTTGCTGTTAAAGCCTAGAGCCCTCTCATTAGCAGATACCCTCCAGGCAGCAGTGGTGTCAGTTTGAGATGATTACACTGTGTTTTAGTCCCTTTCCCCCTTTTTCAGGTCCGATGGATTTTCCTTACTCTCAGAAGTCCAATCAGACAGGTCAAGGATAATAGTTGAAGTTTAAATGCCATTTTAGATATTTTTACGGGAGGAACACTTTCATAGCTCAGCGTTCTATTTCTTTAACTGTTTATGTGTTCTTTAGTTTTATACTAATCTAAATATAAGATTTAATTTTTAAAGTACTCTTTAAAATCATTTGCCTTCCTTTTTCATATTCTTCTCTTCTATGATACATCCTGACATTCCTGTATCTCACTAATCACTTCTGTTCTGTTAATCAAGGAAACATTTTAGAATTCTTCCAAAATGGAAGAAGATTATGTTGGATGGTTAAGAATGCTGCTGCAAAGATATTTTATAAAAATTAAATTTATTTTTTGTTTTTATTAACTATGTGAAAAATAGTCACTAGTGAATTTGTTAATGTTTTAATTTAGATTTTTTTGGCATTTTACAAAGCTTAAATGTTTTTATTGTACATGCAATTAAATTTTCTATACTCTTCAGTTATAGTATTTTGAGTTTTGAATATATATATGAGTATATAGAATTTTGTATATAGATTTTGAATGGGTTAAACCTATAGTTCACTAAATAAAAGTCAAATTTTTATTAATACTTACATTAAAATGAAAACAGCATCTTAAGTGCTGCATGTTTTTCTTTAACTATAATTAATTTACTATGAAGGCAAAATGGTATTTTCACTTATTAATATGAACACTCAATTATATCTGCTAACAACTCGGAAATTTGACATTAAGCATTCATGTCTGGTTGTTATACTGGTTAGAAATGCATATCTAATGAAGCTCATGGAATATATTACTCATTATATTCCTTTAATTGGATCACTTTGTTTTAATAAATGTTATGACAAAGATGGAGCTATAACAGTGGATCTCATGGTATACTCACATTTCATTTACTGTAAAAGGTTTGTAGTTTTCTTTAACTAAGGTAGAGTTGTGGTATTTTTCAATGTTTTGTTTTCAGTTCTGGTAATTTCAATATTGCACAGTTAATAGGATCTTTTTGAAATGAAATTATTGTACATCATGGTGCAGATGTCACTATGAATGTTCTCATGATTTGTGCTCTGGTACTATCTTTTAGGAGAAATTAAATTCTACTAAGGTGTTATTGGTATTTGGTTCATTTGAATGTTTCAGAAACCAACTCTATTTACATCAAGATTGTGGTGCATGAGAATCAGCTTCTTTACCATCAGAGACTGTATTAATTCTCATGATAGACTCTAACATATTTCATAAATCTATCTAATCTCATTCACTCTGCTCACCCATTTCTCCCCCTCCATCTTATGTACCAGCCCCTAAATTTCTTGCTGTTTTCCTTCTAAGATCTGTATTTTCTCTCTCCATGCCTTCATCTTTATTTTTCTTGCAACCTTAAATATTCCTCTTTCTATTTCCCATTTTGTTGAAATTATATTCATCTTTTAAGAATTAACAAAGCTTCTTCATCGGTTATGGAATCAGACTGCCTGAGTTTGAAACCTGGGTTACTAGCTAGCTAGATAACCTACATCCAGATTCCTCTCTGAGAATGTCTGAATTCTCTGTATTCTCAGCTGACAGTTCTCTGTACCTCAATGGCCTCATCTGCAAATAGTGATAATAATACTACTTACCTTATGAGATTATTGGTACATTCAGTGAACTAATATGTAAAAAGTACAGTGCCAAACTATAAGTAATAACTGTTAAAAAATACTAATATAGTAGTCAGAATTAATGACTTCCTTTCAATATTGCTTTAGTATTTCTTATACTTCATTTTTGATACTTACAGAATACTTCTCTTATACTATGTTTACATGCATGTTTTCCTTCTCCAATAAACTGTGAACTTTTAAAATATAGGACTCCTGTGAATAGGTCCTCAATATATTTTTTAAAATAAATTGAACTGGATTGAGACTGTAGATCCTTTTTCTTTCCCCCTAGTGTGTGTGTCAGTCAGTCAGTCATGTCCAACTCTTTGTGACCCCATGGACTATAGCCTGCCAGGCTCCTCTGTCCAGGAAATTCTCTAAGCAAGAATACTGGAGTGGGTTGTTATTCCCTTCTCCATTTCCCCCCCTTGGTGTTCAGTAAATATTTATTGAGAAATGAACAACTTCAGGGTCTGCAGAGGAGTGTTCTGCCTCCAACACCATTTTCCATCCACGTGAGAGTGAATTTTTTGCTTAGGAGGGCCGAGCTTGACCCCTTGACTGGGGAGTTTGGGAACTTCTGAGCCAGGACAAAACTTGTGTCAATCCAGATGACCAAGGAGCTGTGACACCTAGGATAGAGTTACATCCAAAAGGTATGTCTGGGCGCCTGTCTTTACTATTTAATTTCTGGTCCTGATGAAAATTAAAATAACTAAAGTCCTGGAGCTATAGAGGTTCCCAGAATTGTGGTAACCATACAGATCCTTTTCTTTTTTTAAAACTTCCTGGCAACTTTTTTGTCTCTTAGAGATTTAAAAGGCTAAAATAGTTGGGATTATTTAGTTTTAAGAGAAGAGAACTGAATTTTTCATTTACATTATTATTTTTATTGTTGTTGTTACTATTATTATTGTATGTTTTTAAATGGACTGTTTGGGAGTAAGTTGCAGACATCATGACTTCACTTCTCTGTACTTACCTCCTTTAAGAACAAGGACACTTTCTTATATAGCCGTAGTACAATGATCAAAACAGAATATTTACTTTAGTACAAACTTTTATCTAATGTAAAGTTCAGAAGATTCTAGTACATTTAGTTGTCATGTCACTTTAGTTTCCTTTAATGTCAAATAGTTTCTCAGATGTTTTTTGTCTTTCATAACATGAACTTTTTTGAAGGGTTCTGGCCAAGTTTCTGGTAGACTGTCTCTCAATTTGGATTTGTCTAATGTTTCCTCATAATTGGATTCACTTTACACATTTTTGGTGGGAATGCCACAGAAATGAAGTTGCATCCTTCTCAGTGCTTCATTATCAGAAGGCAGATTGTGTCTGCTTGGGCCCAGTTATGTTAAATTTCATCATTTGGTTAAGGTGGGATCTGCCAGGGGTCTCCACTGTCATATTACTATTTTGCTATACTGACTTAGGTAGTTTGTGGGGAGATATAAGACTACATAATAACTTCTTTCTTTTCAATCTTTCACTTACTAGTTTATATTCATTTGATGCTTCTTGCCTGTGATAGTTGCAAAATAGTGATTTTTCAACTCCATCATATTTCTATATTTATTAGTTGTCACTGTACTGTAAGAAAGCCTTCTTTCTCTTTCTCCTTTCTTTCTTCTATCTTTCCTTTTTTTCTTTCTTCCTTTTAACTCGTAGATGTTTTAAATTAAGTTTCAGTTCTCAAGTCGTTGTAGCTGCCTTCAGGCTAGCTCCTGATCCTTTGGAAATGCCCCAGTTGTTCTATGACTATGTCTTTAATTTTTGGTATAACAAAATATTACAGGCTCTTTTTGTCATTTCCCTGCCCAAGCCCTAGAATCAACTGTTTCTCCAAGGAACGCTGGTTCCTTTTAGTAGAGAATGGTATTTAGAAACTAAGATTTGGGTTCTAGGTATGCTCTTTGGTAGCAGTGTTGCCTCTCGGTTCTCTTAGCAGAGAGATGTGGGCTTCCCAGGTGGCGCTAGTGGTAAAGGACCCACCTGCCAGTGCAGATTAGACATAGCAGACACAGGTTCGATCCCTGAGTCGGGAAGCTCCCCTGGAGGCGGACACAGCAACCTACTCCAGTATTCTTGCCTGGAGAATCCTATGGACAGATGAGACTGGCAGGCTGCAGTCATTGAGCTGCAGAGTCAGACACGACTGAAGCCATTAGCAGACACACAGCAGAGAGATATAGATTG